TGAGAATGATGTACAAATGCGCTTTACACAATTGATGTGTGTATGGATTGCGATAACAGTTGTATGAGCCCCTAATAAAATGTTTAAAAAAAAAACAACCACACTATAAGATACACATTAACCACCTCACTTCTTAGCTATCCACTGACCTTCAGTGAATTATCCTTCTGTTTCCACAAATAAAAGCAAAATCAATTACTACTCTATTAACCCCATAAACATCAAGAGCCCAAAGGTTGAAACACTGTCGACAAAGTATGCCTTTAACTGGGTGACACAGAAAGCTGGAGCGAGAGTGTAAATCACAATATCCTGAAATGTGTATTTTAAAAAATGTATCTGATTAAAAAAATAATAAGTAGAAGGCTTCTATCAGGCAAATCAGCAAGTTAATAAAAATATCAACAGTAGCCACTTATTTAAACATACCTGCCTGGTGAAAAAGAACAAGCAGCAGAGGGGAAGACACTGGAAAATAGTATGTTTTATCTTGGTACATTATCTCATCTTAAACTCATTTTACATGACTCTCATTTTTAGTGTTGATTCCACTGACTGAATGCTGAAGGTCTTCTGGTCATGACACAAATATTCATGTATATTCAAATATACATGACACAAATATTCATAGGCTCAGAAGTTATACACATTCAAGATCACTATAACAATAATGCACTAACCTAGGCATATATTTGCTGGTTTTACGCCAGGAAAATCCATTTACAGCTCGAGGATGGGCCAGATACACAAATGAAAAGTCCATCTCCCCTTGGGATTGTTTTTCTGACCTTCCATCTGGAGAGGGAACAGCTGTCCGCCAGTTTTCTACATTATACCACACCTTTACAAGACAGTCATCCTGAGGGAAAACCAGAGAAAAACACCAAAATCATAGTAAACAGAATCAAACTCAGAATCAAATTGCAGGCTAAGTAAAAAAAACAAAAGATTTTTCTCCCAGTCACATAAATTTAGGAATGGGAAAAATATTAAGCATGGAATAACTGAGAAGGAAAATATGATTGCAATGTTTTTCTATTCGTTGTTAGGTGCCATCAAGTAGGTTCCTATTCTAGCAATCCTATGTACAACAGAAGGCAAAACCACCTGGTTCAACACCATCCTGACAACTGTTCTTATCTTTGAGCCTACTGTAGCCACTGTGTCAATCCATCTTGTTAAGGGTCTTCCTCTTTTTCCCTGCCCCTGTACTTGAGCAAGCATGGTACTCTTCTCCAGAGACGGGTCTTTCCTGATAACATGTCTAAAGTATGTCAGATGAAGTCTCACCATCCTTGCTTCTAAAGAGCATTTTAGCTGTACTTCTTCCAAGTCAGATCTGCTTTTCTCTCAGCATTCCTTAATTTGTGCTTAGAGAACTGAAGTGTGTAAATGTGTGTAACTTGTAAGGGTTGATTAAAAGAAAAAAGGTGCGCTAGTCACCATTTACTACGTAAGTGGCGTCATTCAAGAAAAACTCTCAGAAGATGAAATTAGAGTTTGTTTCCCCATTTAGCCAGGTGTCAAATGAGATTAATACCATCAATGGCAGATGTGCAAAAACAGGAGCCCATTGTCAGCAGGTCAAATCTGCCTCAAAGCAACAGTCCCAAACAGAATAGCGCTGCCCTGTGGGGTTTCCACAGTTGCAATCCTTACAGAAGCAGACTGCCACCCTTTTCAACTGTGGAGCTGCTAGTGGGTTTGAACAATCAGCCCTATCTTTGTAGCAGTCAAGCCAATCTGCAAAGTACTGGAGAGGAAATAAAACGGTGGTATCATGAATTATCACGAGAAAATGTTGAAGGTTATAACTAGTTAATAATTGAAGAGCTATGGTGGCATAAGCAGCTGGTGGCTAAACAAAAGGTTAGTCATTTGAATCTACCCTGTGCTCCACAGAAGAAAGGCCTGGCAATGTGCTCCCATAAGAATACAGCCAAATGAACCCTATGGGCAGTTCTGTTCTGTCACATGAAGTCAGTATAACATGAGGCCACTGATTTGTTACCGTCCAACAACAACAGTTAAAGACTATAGTCCAACCAGTTGCCATGGGGTCAATTCTGACTCCAGGTAATCTTATGTTCTGTAGAGTGGACTGCACTCCATAGAGTTTCCTGGGCTGTGACCTTTGTGAAGCAGATCTTTAATTCAAGCCTATCTTATGGGTGAGTCTGAGCAACCAAACTTTTGGTCAGTAGTCAAAAATTTGTACTACACAGAAATTCTATTTGTGCTACACAGAAATTCCTAGTTAACTAGTTTTAGTCAACTGTCACATAAAATATTTTAAGTAAAATCAAATGTGTACCTTGTAATTTAGGGAAAAAGGGATACAAGAAAAAAAGAGAAGCCAGCATGTACTGGATGCTACTCTTAAAACCCATTCCTAAAGTCAATCAGAAAAAACAACTCTACTTCTCTCCTACAAAAACTCACTGATGTTTTAGAAGATCCCACACTCTTGGTTTATAGACCAATAATTTTAATATATTAGTGATCCATAAACTGATTTGAAAACAATTTTAAGAGAAAATGGTTTGAGAATGATGAGG